TCTGGTGCCCAGCATCTGTGTTGTTGGTATCTGGTGTGTGTGGCATGTGGCGTCATGTCTGTATATATCTTGCCTTCCTTTATTTCCCTTTAACTGTAAGTGGCTGAATTTTACTGATCTAATGGAAATCTCTGTTGTTTTTAACCAGGGTGGCAAATTATAACTCCTATTAATTATGAAACTGACAAATTGCTATTATGACTGATAGTTGCTTTTGTTTTGCCCTGTGGGGATAGCTAACTGACCTTTAGTAATTTACTGGGTAGGCAAAATGGCATGAACTTAAAGTGCTAGTGAATAAAGTTGGTCAGGTACCAAATTGCTCTATTCACATTTTAGGTCTCTAGGAGTTTTTTTTAAGTTGTTTTGTATTTCCTTAGCATTTGTTTACACACACACAGCTATTAGTTCACTTATGAAAGAGATTCTTTGCAGGTCAATGCTATTTTACATTGACCTTGTTTTCCTTGCAATGCCTCTGACTCTTTTGTGGTGATTTTTATTACGTTGCTCTTTAAATCTTATTTTTAAAGCACAATGTATATACGTATTCAGGGTTGCATTTTTTCAGTCCCTTCAATTATTTTAGCACCCTATACATATAAAAATCCAAACCTTGACAGTGTGAAGGGGCATTCGCTATTGCTTCAGCATGATAAATCCAGCATTCACATGTTGTAACTGGAAGTGTGGAACAGAAAAGACAAGTATATGAAACTCACTCACCTTTCCTGCTGCAAAATCACAGATTAAACTCTTTACTGTGATTTATAGCACCCCCAATTTTAGATTCATGGAAAATAAAGAAGAGCAGGCTTCCTGCATTTGTTTTTTTTATGAAGGAATCAAGAGGGCTTTGCTCATTGTCCCTTTACAGTCCCTTACATCCTTTCCTGTTGCTGCCTTAGGAAGCTGCTTTGCTCTCTGGTGAGAATGGAGTTAGCTCCTGAAAACTGGAATAAATCAGAGGATGATGATGATGATGATGATGATGATGATGATGATGATGAT